TATCCCCTTTTTTGTGTCACAGAAGGCTATTCTATTGCCATTTGAATACTGCAGGTGCCTAAACTCAGCAAAATAATCCAATATAGTCCAGTAGTCCGTAATAGTAGTGGGCTATCTGTAGGGCTATCAATGTCAGAAGTTGTTAACTTGAGCCTTTTACAGCTCAGCGTATTAAAATGGCTTTACATTTATATATCATTTTTATGCTTTTCTGCTGGATGCTTAAGGCCAAAATAAAGCCTATATAATAAACCTATATAATAAATGTAACTTTTGTATCTGTCAAGGTCAGTCAAATCCCCTCAAGATTTACCCTGAAGCCCTGTACTGCAGTTTGCAGATCCTTTGTCAGTGTCAGCCGTGTAGTCACGGCCATTGCTTGGCCAATGTGCTCTCTGTGAAAGCCTGAGAGAATGTTTTCTCTCCATGTGACTCTCCTTAGGCACACTCTAAATCATTGATCACTTTCCTTTGTGGCCCCATAATCTCCTTGATCAGAAAATTTGGGACACAACTGAGTTACAGGATGTTACAATACAGGTAACATCCTGTAAATCCTAAACCCTTACTGACCTTGACAGGCTAGGGTCAACATGTTGGCTGTCCTTGCAGCCCTTCTTTTTCTCTAATTTTTGGTTTGCAAATTAAGTTGTTAACGCTCCAGAAGAGAAGCGTAATGATATTATTAACCTATTACAGGCAGTTGAGCTTAACCTCAGTATCTGTATGAATAACAAATATCTTAGACATAACATGGAATGGGTATTTTCCATCAAGTGTTTGTTAAACTTTAAACCCCTACAGAATGTGTAGAAAAAAATAAAAAATAAAAAAAAATTTTTAAAAAGGTAACGTAGAATCTTTTTTTGTTTGTTTTTTTTTTTTGGTAACACAGAATTAACATCTCACATTAGGTTCCCTTTCTGAGGGTCATTTTAAAAATTACAAAGTTTGGGGTTCTGTTAATTAGCTAGTTGAACTCAAGCTCCTCGTATCTTCTTTCATTTCCTCTTAAATTCCCTCCCCATTCTCTCTCTCTCTCTTCCTCTTTTACACTCACAATTATACATTCTCTCTCTTCTTTTCTCTTATGTAAAAACTGCTCCTAATATGTATTTTTTTCGTTTTTATACTTTAGGATGAACTAATTTCGTATGTGAACTAATGAAGTTTGTGTGTCTATGCTTTATCACATTGACCCCGGGTTCTTCTCACCAGCAGTCATTGCTGAGTTCTCCAATGTCAGGATTTTTGCTGGGTTTTACAATGGACAACAGTGCCCTGAAGGCTGAGGCAGGAGGAGCCCAGAGCTCAAGTCCTACCTGGGCTACATGGGGAGTCCAAGACAAACCTGAACTGCATTATCAAGACCCTGTTTCAGGGCCCACCAAATAGCTCAACAGATTAAAGCACCTGCTTAGGCAGACCCAGTGGCTGGGGTCTGATACCTGGCCTGCCGTGCTGGCCTCACTCCTGGGGCATGCTGATGTGGAGGTTCAGACTGGGTGTGGTGGTGCACGCCTGTAGTCCCAGCTCTTTGGGAGGCTGAACACAGGCGGATCACTATGAGTCTTATCTATGTAGCAAGACCCTGTAGACCCTGTAGATTCTTACTAAAACAAAGACCCAGTTTTTCTTTCTTTCTTTCTTTCTTTCTTTCTTTCTTTCTTTCTTTCTTTCTTTCTTTTTGGTGGAACCAGGGATTGAACTCAGATCCTTGCTTTTGCCAGTCAAGCGCTTATCCTACTGAGCCATCTCCCGGGCCCCTAAGACCCTGTTTCATAAAACCCAATAAAACTAAATAAAACGGAGACAATGTCCATGGATATTGTCCTGTTTTCTTACAGATCCCCCCCCCCAGTCCTTCTTTCCCTCTACCCTTCTATGGATCCTCTCAACTCCTCTCCTTCACCACCATCTCTACAGGTATAAGATGCATCACCAGACTTTTCTCTGCTATTTATCCTGTCATGTTTAGGAGCAAAGTGTTAAAATTAGATGACCATGAAATAAATGAAAGAGAAACAAAATAAAGGTCCTCTCTCTTTCACCTGCTTTTGTTTCTTCTAATGTCCTTACACTTTTGTTAACTTCTCTTCTTTGAGTTACTTTAAAATCTCTTTTTCATTCTTCCTCTCTTTAGCTAATCCTCCTTCCTACTGCTATGAATCCTTTGTCTTCCTCAAGTACTAAAACACTGGTAAATGACCTCTAAATTACACAACAATCTAGGACTGATTCTTTAACCCTCGTATTCCCAGCAACCGCTCTCTTCTTGCTATTTATGCTAGAGCTCAATACTATGGTAGCAGCTCTTTCTAGCCCTACTGATCTAGACTTACATTATACACGAAAAACCAGGAACGATTAAAAACATTGACAAGATCAAAGACTGAGAAATAATCAAATGAATAACGTGTTTATTGAACTGAGTGAGGATGTTCATAGCAAAAAAAAAAAAGATTTAATTATTTGATGTCCAAAGAGCTGAAAGGAGCACAAGATGGTGTTTCACTTTAAGAATTCAATGCAGAATATGAATGACACATTGCTTTATTGCTACAGGACCTCCCTACGTGGCTTGAACTCGTAGTGATCCTCCTGTCTTACCTTCCCCAGTGCAGGGAGTACAGGCATGTGTCACCACACTTGGTTTCAGAAGCTGGCAGAGCATGGGGCTGGCCCTCCACGTGGTACTGGGGATCAAACCAGGGGTCCTTTTGCTTCTGGGCAGGTGCTTACACCACTGAGCTATCTTCTTGATCCCCTCAATGACAGATGAATAAAGAATTAGAATAATGAAAAGATAAATAGATTCCAATCCAAGAGAGTGGAGAATTTTAATGCCCACTCTCACACAGAGTTTCTCAACAAGCAAGAACTTAACAAATACAAGAGTTCAAATGTAGCTCTGAATGAACCAGTGAACCTAACAGATATGTACAGAGTTGAGTGAGTCCAGGCTGTGTAATCCACCACAGAGATTGAAGTGCTGTTCATCTTTTCTGGGGATGAGAGATGGGGAGGCAGGCTGCTCCCTCTCTTGTTTCTCTGCAGGAATACAATACTGAGGCTCGCAGTACCCCACTGCACAGGAAACTTGAGCTGAAGGGATCAATAAAACAACTCACGCAGATGTGAGATCCTCATGTTCTTTGCTAATCATTTACCTCACCTTGAACCCAGGGATGGTGATTGCTACATTGTCTTGTTTCACTGACACAAGTGGGGCCTTTGAGACATCGCGTGTTGCTGCACCTGGAGATGGGAGCCCTCTGAGCCTTCTTGTGGGAAATTTGTCTCTTTCTCTTACATTCCTCACAATATCCCGTAGGCCAGTCGGTGGGCTGATTCCAGAAGAACCTTTTGCATCCCCCAAGAGCAGAATTGCAGCCCATGGAACTTTCTCCAAAGGGACTGTACCCTAGACCATAAAACAACTTCAAATGCTACAAAATAGTGTCAATAACCTCTTGCATCCTATCAGATCATAACAGAGCAAAGTGTCCACCGATCAGAAAAAGAAACCACAGAAAGGAGACAAACACTTGGAGATTAAACACCACACTCCTGTTCATTCAGCGGGGAACAGAAGAAATCAAAGAGAATAGTGAAGTTTCTTTAGATCCAAGGTTGCTGGCAGTGCAACACGGCAGTGAGATCAGGCACTGCATGAAAGCAGATCCAACGGGGGAATTCCTACGCATGTGCGTACATTAACACCTACGGAGTGTCACCAAATAAATAGGCGAATGATAGCTCTCAAACTTTAAGACGAGAGCAACTCAAGTGCATGTTTGTAGCGGGAAAGAAACTAAAATGTATCACAAGCGCATAATAGTGAAACACACATATAATAATAAAACATATGACGTCAGATGTACATTTTCGCTTCCTCACCCTTTTCCCTGGTTCATTCCATCACCACTTCTTCTAGAAGGATCCATCTTCCAGCTCTCCCCTGCTGCAGTGTAGACCACGTGTATTCCTCCAGGCCCACATGTAGAGGATTTTGACCTAGTCTGTAATGTGGCTGTTAGCAGCAGGTTCTCTGAAGGGCACAGTGGGTCCCTGGCCATTATGTTTCTCTGTCTGCCTATATACAGCGATTTAGATTTCTCAGCCATGGACTGACATCATGATGAACTGCTTTACAACGAGCTGAAAGCCTCTGGGCCGTGTGACAATTAATTGAGCCTTCTGAAACCAAGGGACAAAGGCCGGCTAGATAGCTCAGGGGACTAAAGCACCTGCTTAGGCAGACTCAAGGACCGAGGTTTGATCTCTGCCAGCTGTGTCCCCAAGGTGCCCTGAGAAGGCGATCGAGACTGAATATGGTGGCGCACACCTGTAATACCAGCGCTTGGGAGGCTGAGAACACGGGGATCACTGGTGTCTGATCTGTGTAGTGAGGTACTCTAGACCGTGTACTACATAAGAAACCAAGGGAGAGACTTTGAACTTGCCATATTCATCACTGATTTATTTTATTCCTGTTCTGCTTGTTTTGGTGGCAGATATTCCATGCAATGAATGCAGAGGCACTGCTGCCACCTCCCCACAATTCAGCATGCGTTAGAAACTCAGCGTTGGTTATTGTGGAGTGCAGGAATAGTGGATGAATTGCACCCACGCGGAGAAGCAAGCAAGAACTCAGTGTACACATTGACCATAGACCACAGAATGTGTGGAAGAACTACACACTACACACACACAGATATGCACACACATGGGTGTGCATACCACTCACACAAACTCAAACACACCCCTGAGCTGCACTGCAGACCCAGGCTGGAGGGTGACCAGATGGGCAAAGAAGTGGGAATGTTCTGTGGGGAGCTTGAAATGAACATGCATGGATTTAGGACAGATTGGTAAGTGTGGAGAAGCTTCATGGAGCTGATACCAGAGGCTGTGGCTAGGGCCGGCAGGACAGAGACCATGCACGGCCTGCAGTACAGAGGCAGTGTTTCTCTCCATCTCTGTGCATGCCGAAGACTCCCAGCTGTTCAGGCTGTGCAGGAAGTGTACCCTGAGTGTGTCTGCAAACACATCCTGGAGGCTGGTGCTGAGGGAGAAGAGGCAGGAGTGAGGGGGATCTGGCGATGGTGGAAAAGATGAAGTCCAAGAATGAGCAGCATCAAGAAGGGCAAAGGGAAGAAGGGTGATCAGGGCCTAGGTTGTGGGAGGAAAGGGAGCAGCTAGTGATGGTGGGTCAGGAGAGCTGGAGAGAGGTGTCACTGGAGAAGCATACGCTGGTCCTGGGTTAAGATGGGGCCACAGAACCATGAGCACAGTGGGGATCCAGGCAGGGCACCTGGGCTCGGGATTGCAATGGGTAACTGACCTGTGCCTGAGGCAGGCACCCTGGAGAATCATGAAGGAGATGTTGAAGGGGAGGTGCTGTGCTGCGATGTCCCTTCACTTACCTGAGAGACTAGCCTGTAACGTGGTTCATGTCTGCGGCTGTACTTTCCACTCTCATGCTTTGGGACTTCACTCTAAGCAAAGACAGAAGAATCTTGTAGCACGAGCATTGGGTGTGCAGTGGCAAAGTCGATGAACACGTGCCCTGACAAGGGGCTTCAGGGGTGACAGTAGGAGAGAGGAAGCTCCCAGACCTTCTAGTGGGACCAATTATCTCTTGCTGAATTAGAGTTGCAGACAGATAACAAATGTTCCTTGTACTATCCCTGCCAGCAACTAAGCCCCTGCATCATCCCAGCCCTTTAGACCTTGTTGTGTCCTGCAGCACTAAGAGTCTTGGTCCAGTGCTGAGTACCATGCCCTTCCTTCAGCCCCTACAGCTCTCACCTCAGGAAAATTAGGCAGATCCCAAGAAGCAGGATCTTGACAGACATCCCTGTGATGGCCAGCAGCACCGCCTCTGCCATGGGCTCTGATTTTCCTGCAGGAAAGTGGGGAGGCTGAGTTCTCCTACATGAGCAACATTCCAATCACTGTTCTCACCTTTGCGCTTGTATAGAGTCCTCCTGTCATTCATCATCTCTTTCTCACCCGAAATCTCAAGTGTCCAGTCTGACTCAAGACCGTGTCCTTGGCAGACCAGCACTTAAGCTTCTGAGCTAGCTCTCCACACCCAGCCTGTAGCCTCTTTGCAAAGGAAAGCATTAATGTTGAGAAAAATGTGGAGAGTTCAAGCTTTTTTTTTTTTTTTGGCAGAGCTGGGGATTGAACTCAGGTCCTTGTGCTTGCCAGGCAAGTGCTTATTTCACTGAGCTATCTCCCCGGCCCCTTGATTGTGTCTTGTGGAAAATTAAGTTTATGCTGACCCTGGGCAAAGAATTCTACATTTCCACAAAAACTAATGTCTGAGTGACCTAATCCCAAAATTATTTTCTAAATTACAATACCCCTACGTTCATCTCTGAATTCCAGTATCCTGGTAACTCTAATTGATGATATGGAATCAAGACTATGAAAACACACACACTGAAGCAGGTAATCCTAGCAGCATACTTTACAGACATTATAAGTGGAAGCAACCCTAGAGGCCACCACGTGATAACCAGGTGAGCACAGTGTGGTCTATCCAGTCCCTGGTGAGGTATTTAAGATTGGAACAAGATGAAGCACTCATGCAGGTGGCTCGGATGAAGCTGGAGAGCGCTATGCTAGGTGAGGCAGCCACACAGAAGAGGCTGCCGTGTGTGTGACTCTCCCTGTGTACTCCATGCAGACCACGCAAATCTGAGAGAAGGGGGCGAGGGACTGTCAGGAGAGAGGCACAGGTTTGGGAGGCAGGGTTTCTTTCTGGGTTGGTGAATGTTCTGGAATGACAGAGTGCTGAGGGTCATGCCTCAGTATTGGTGTATTAAATCTAGGTTGTTTGTTGTGTGTTTTATATAAAAAGTGCTGTATTTAATATTAGTATAATTTATTTCAAGAAAGTATGCAGAGATAAGCTTGAAATTTATACAGAGACACTCAAATTCACCTGTTGGTGAAATGGTTAAAAATTCCACCATTAGGCTCAGAAGATAGCTTGGTTGCCAAGTGTCTACCAGCAATTTCAGGAACTGGCTTTGATGCCTGGTAGCATATGCCAAGCTGGCCATGGTCCCTTGGCCCAACAAGTCTTCCACTGAATGACAAAGAATTTCAAACCTAATACAGGCCAGCAAGATGGCTCAGTGGACTAACTGCCTGCTTAGGCAAGCACAGGGAGTGGGGTTTTATCCCTGGTAAAACATACCAGATCAGCACTACCCATGGTCATGCTGAGCCAGACACGGAAACCAGGCACAATGGTGCCTGCCAGTAATCCCAGTATTGGGGAGGCTGTGACAGGAGGATCTTTATGAGTCTGATATGTGTATCAAGATCTTGTAAGAAATAATTAATAAATAAAAGAATGGTGAAACATTCCACTGTGGAGCTTAGAGAAACCGGGTGGCAGCTTTTGCTGAATGCTCCAAGTTCAATCTAAGATCCCAAGGTGAACATCTGAAGCAAACAGTACGGTTCCTTGGCCAATAGACACTTGCTGTCGGGGCTTTCAGTGTTGGGAGTGTAACTGTGCCCATGCTTCCTGCAAACCTCTCGGCTGCGTGTGTCAGAGCAAGAGGAACCACATGACGCAGGTCCATCTGCATTTAGGACCTCAGCTCCTTGGCACACACTGGTAGACAATGATGACAACACTGGGGTCCTCATGCAGTGGGGACCACCGTGAGGGTGCACCAGGACCACCTGTGCTCCTGACACCCTGTGACCTCTCTGACCTCTGGAGGACAGACCGAAGCTCTGTAGCACGTGGCCAGGGACATTCCTGTGGAGGGACTGAGCATCTGAGGACAGACTACAATCTGTTACTGGTTTCCTGTGGCTCTGCTTCATTCCACAGTGTTGAGATTAATGCTACGGGTGCATGCAGTGCTGGACCCCAAGTGCAGGGGCCCTCTGATGATGGTGAGTGAAGGTTTTCCTCTCTGTGGTATCTGTGGGAATGAGGGGGAAAGGAGAAGATCTCCATGTGGTCATGGTTTCTGTGCATGAGAGGAGTCCCTGGGTATGCACAGGCAGCTCTGTCACTGGGTGCACAGGATGGAGAGCGTCCTGGCCCTGCCTGAGTGGAGGCTCTGCCCCAGCCCCAGAAAGGCGCCTCTCAACCTGGGCCAGCTGCTGGAGAGACACAAACCAGAAAGCCCCTTGCAGCCTCTAGAAGAGGAAGAGGTTTGTTTTCTCAGCCCAGTCACACCCCAGAGAGACAGGGTTGCACCTGCGCGTGTTCGTCCAGCCAGGTTCCCAGCACAGAGACACATGAGGCCCAAGGCTTCTTCCTCCTGGCAGTCACCATCCCAGTGATGTACGTACCAGGCAAAGCACTCACCAGTGAGGTTGAGCTGCACAGTCTGCTCCACAGTCACACCAACTGCAGGGAACATCACCTGACAGGTGAGGTAGGTGCCATGGTCCTCAGGCTGGGGGCTCAGGGTAAGCACAGAAGAGTGGGTGGTCCTGGGACCCAGCGAGGTGAAGGCAGGTGACCTCCAGGAGAAGATGGGGGGTGTCCCCTGCTTACAGGCCCAGGGCACAGAGCAGGTCAGGTTGCTGGGGCGGCCAGGCATGAGGATCCCAGGGATGAGGATTACAGGGGTGTGGGTCAGGGCTAGGAGGAGAGGGGACAGAGGGATTAAGAGGGCAGAGTTAAGTAGCCCAGGCCTCAACCCAGCTCCTCTTGATGTCCTAATACTTGAACCCCAACCCTGCCAAAGACAGCATCCATCCCAGCCACCTCCAGAGGCCTCCACCACCTGTGCCTGGTGCCCAGGACTTACCTGTCACTTCCACAGAGACTGGGTCTGCACAGTAACTCCATTGTACACTTCCTGAGTCCTCCCGAAAGAAGTATGAGCCACTGTCACCCTTCTGTGCATCTCTGATGTGCAGGGAGCAGTTCTTGGTCTGTGCGTCCAAGAGCAGGTGGAACCGGCCCTGAGTTCTCTCCTGTACTTGGCGTTGGGGGTCGTTTGTGGCCACTGGGGAGTCGTGTCTTGTATCGGCCCCTTCCTGAAACCAGTAGCCATAGACAGTCCTTGAGGTCACTTTAGAGGTGGGGTATCTGCAGAGCACAAGGCCGCACTGGCCCTCCTGGATGCTCGCTGACCTGGCCACCTCTAGCCTGTGGATTGAAATCTCAGGTGGGCACTTTGAGGATAAACGAGGTGCAGCTCTTCCCAACCCCCACTGCCCTTCTCCCTGCATCCACAGCAGCAGCAGGGGTAGTAGCATCTCAGAGCTCGAGGTCCTGGCTCCTCTGTCAGCACAGAAGGACACAGTGTGGAGGGGAAGTGTGGTGTAAGCCTCAGAAGCCAGGGTGGAGCAAGAGGTGGGCCTTTGCAGAAGAGGAAGTCAGACTATGCCTTGTGCAAGCTGCCCTTTTTCACAGAATGGATAGAAGCACAGAGAATTGCCCAGAGAGAATACAGGAGCAGAAGCGTCCTCCTGGCCCCATCCTGGAAGCTTGTTTCAGTACTGGGATGCCCAGGGATGTGGGGAAACCTGAGACAGAGTCAAGAGTGAGGGTCAGGCCGCCTCCCTCCTGGCTGGCCCAGCAAGGGTGCACCTTTTCCTATGTTGAGGTGTGAATGGTGAAGAAGGAGAAAGGTTTCTGAATGCTGTTTGTGTCTGGGACAGAAGAAAGGAAGAGGCGTCCTCAGCCATGCACGGACAACAGCTCACTGTTCATTCTCTCAGTAAATTTTGTGAGCCGCAGAATCAGAAAGGTTTGCCAAATGTGTGTAGGTGGGCCTAGGCCTCAGTGCCTAAAGCATACGAGCTTGCTCAGTCCTGAGATAAGCATCTTGATTGGTTCATGTCGGCTACTCGTGAACAAGTAATCTTGTTTCCTATGTTACTAACTTTGGAAGTTTATAAATAAATGTCCATACTGTGGCTCATGGGATCCTCTCACCAACCAGGCAGAGGAGCCATCCCCTAGCCCTGCTTTTGTTTTCTCTGTCTTTTCCACGTTCCTGCCACCATTTTCCCCTAGACAGAATGAATCACACTGAGACCCAAGGATGCTTAGCAGGAAACACATAGTGAGCTTGAAGCACCTGTGGAGGTGGACCTGAGAGGATCAGGGAAGGCCTGAGCTGAAGCCTAGGCCTGCCCTGTGCAGGAGTCTCAAGGCCACAGGTGGTAGCAGGTTGAGAGCAATGTTGTAGCAGGAGAGACACATCGCTGTCCTAGATTAGTTCGGTGGCTCCCGTAGTGCAACACTTCGAGGAACAAACAAACAGCGACTTCACGTGACACAGAGAGGACATAAGCTTTGTGCTAGTGCAGAAGGAAGTTCCTTTTCACCAGTGGCTGGTGGGACGCAGTGGGTGTCACTGTTCTTGTGGTACAGGTGAGCCCTTCCTTACATGCAGTACGTCCGCCCCTCATTGGCTCATGGGCCTCAACAGATGTGCACATTCAGATGAAGGGAGGGAATTATATAGGTACAATTAATTTTGGCCTTCGCTCACATGGAGCTCTAGCTCCCTCACTCAGTGTTTACCAGGGAATCAGAACCCCATTTCCCAAATGTGTGTCACACAAGAGGTGACTCATGTGCATGCAGTGGAAGAGCAAAGATGATGAAAGGAGACACAGCGGGGGACCCACAGGGTGCAGAAGATGACACAGCAACTCTGAGGGCAGAGCAGGGCTCCCACGGTATCTGAACTTCTCAATGCTCTCTCTTTAGTAAGAAGAGCTTTGCAGAAGGCACTGGGTCAACTTCCTTGAGTGGCAGGGTTTGTCCTGGGCCATTGAGTTGGCCCCTGGATATAAGCACAGAGGCCGTGTACTGGAGGAGCAGAGGGCGAGGAGAGAGAGACACTGGAGGGCCTAAGATCTTCTGCCCACAGGTGCCGAGAGTTGTGTGACAGGGCCAGGTGTCAAGGGAGACAGAATCCTGCACCAGAAGAGTGGTGGCATGGAGTCTGGGGAAGGCTGCACAAGGTACCCTTAGGTCTGACCCAGGGACTCTGACTTCAGAAATAAGAGAAACTGAGTCTTGGCATTTCAAAATCATGCAGCATCAATCAAACGCCCTCATCCAGAGATGACTGCTGCGGAGAAAGCACAGACTCATACACGCACAGCACACCACATAGGAAGGTCCACCCACGCAGTTACACACTCTGAGGCAAGAAGGAGAGCTGGGCTTCTGCATGGCACGGATGAATTCAAGTCCTCATGGAACATTCAGTACACAGAGACACAATTTCCCATTAGGAGATTTTATGTGATTGCAAAAATTTCTAATTCATGAAAGTAAGAGGAGATGAGTGCTGGGCAGACTGGGGAGTGGGAAGAAGTGGGAAAGTTGGGCAAAGGGCCGGGGTTGTACTGGGCCAAGAGGAGTGCATTCTGGAGAGCTGCCTAGGGGTGTATAGCCAATGATGCAGCAGAAAACTAATCCTCCCAACTGCAGCGCAGCCTAGATTCACACAGGATGTGCCAGGTCCCACTGCAGAGGTGCTAATGACCGGGTGTGGCCACGCAAGTGTCAGCGTCCTCAGCACGGAGCAGGATGAGGTGGTCTCCGAAGAACAGCGCATGCGTGCATCTGTTGGGAGTGTTTCTGTTCATTTGTTTGATAACGGTAATTATAAATTAGAGATCAGTTTCCATAAAAGTCGCGCTGCATAATGAAAGTGTATAAATATTTTGTCAGCTATAACTCAGCATCAGAAATATGCCCTAAAAATTTTTGAAGTTAATCAAAACAAAGTATTTCAATTAATCCATAAAGATAAAATGCTGATAGAAAGGTGACAGTGAATGAGCGTGTTTCCTCCTCAGCACCTGTGATCACCCCTGTCCCTCCTCCACCGCGGCCTCCCTTCACCCCAGTTGTGTGCTGTGGCGTTGCAGCCTGTGCCCTCTGCTCTGCCCATGTTTTGACCCAGATCTCTGCCTGGATCCGCACCTTGGTGTCATGAGCCTCTCACAATGCCAGTCTTTCTTCAAATCCTTCTTTCCATTGGACAGATTGCCTTATTCCCAGGACCTGAGGGCCCTCACCCATTGCCCTTGGGCCACTCTTGTCCTTCCTGACCACACGCAGGAGAAGCTCTAATGGGGGAAGGGTATCTGGGTGGGACTGAGGCATCAACACTGAAGAGATGCTTGGGATAAGCTCAGTGCACTGCACTGGAACTCAGACAGAGAATGCAGAATCTGCCAGGCAGGAGAAAGCTACCTGAGAGAGAAGCCCGTGGATGAGACCTGGTAAGAGGGGTGCATACAATAATTCAGCACCGCTTCTCTAGAACAAGGCATTGTGGGAAAATTCAAATCCCCTGAGGGAGGAAACCTCAGCTAGGATGGTTATTGGTGCTCAGCCAAGCAGTCACAGCCTAGATCTGCTTGGCCTGACTCTGCTGTCTCTGGAACACAATGCCCAGCTAGTGAGATATTTGCAAGACAGGGCCTCCCCAGATCCAGCCTTGAAGGAAAGTGGAGAAAGTAAGGAGACAGAGACAATCCCTGTGTGGGCAGTGACAGAGTCAGGACCAGTGAGCTCTAGGAGGGGACTTAGGAGCAAAGGGCAATGTCCTATTTATGGACCAGAGCCAGGTGTTGAGAGATCTGTGAGACACCCAGAATGCCAGGAGACCGCAGTGGCCCAAATTCATAGGAGCGCTGACTACTGTTGGTGTTTCCCCCACTGTCATCATGGTAGTGTGGCTGGGGATCACGCAGAGGAGCAGAGGAAGTGGGCACTTTCACAACACCCACCACTGCCACGGAGCTCCAGGCCCTGCCAGCCCCACGCAGCATCCACTGATCCCCAAGGAACTGTACGCAGAGCGTCTCTCTCCTCTGCACCCTCAACAGCGCTGAACTCAAGGCTGGAGAGAGCTCCCTGTGCAGCCGAGCACCTGGCACAGATCACGGTGGTGAAGAAAACCCATGTCAGTGTCCCCAGCAGCCATGTACTGTCGGCTCCCAGCAACCACTAAAATCCTGATTCACCGTGAAACTGGACAAACATGAGCATTCCTTTGACATCTGGAGCAAAGGGAGAGAGCAAACCTACCAGCGTGGTCTGCAGAGATGAGGGCACTGCCTCTGGGCCAACCACAGCCGCCTGGGAAATTGCCCGAGGGAACGGCCACACACAGCTGGAGCTGACCGCAGAGGGCTTGTAGGCTGGAACGTCAACTAGGCAGAACGGCTTGGGGCCAGCGGGAGATCACAAGCCGGAAGTTGAGGTTCCGACCTGTGTGTGTGAGAAGAGCTGCGATCCTGCCGCACTCTCAGGACAAATGGCTGGTGAAGGACGGACAGCTGATGGCCTACTTGTTCCACCCAGATGAACTGAATCAGTGTCGTCCTGTGTATGTCAGGCACCCTGGGGATTGTTGATATCAGCAAAACAAGGGGTTTGGGGGCTGTGGGTTCTTCTGAGGAACTTGTCATGCTGGCTTCCCTGTTATGAACTTGGCTGATCTCATGGGCACACAGGAGCGTGGGCACTTTCAGTTGATGAGTATGGCTATGTTTAACTTCGGGGAGCTCTCGTCCTTACTTTTAGTACTGCTTCCTGGCTCCAGAGGGGCAGACGGTGAACTGTTCAGTGTCCTCTAGAAGCTTGTCACACTGGCTTTCCTGATATAAAACCAGAACTTTGTGTCTCATGAGGAGCTCGGAACCTCACCGTTGCAGAGGATGGCTGTGGTACCTCTCAGGGGAGCTCTTGTTCTTACTCGGAGCACCGCTTCCTGGCTTGCAGTTCGGGTTCCGCAGCCCGCTAGCACCGGCCCTTCATCCTGCTGGCATACCCTTCCTGGCTTCCATCACTGTTATCTGCATCTTGCTAAAGCAAATTCATGAAACAGACCCGCAAGAGGCATTGTCATGGGCTCCAGGTCTTCAGCCGGACTCGTGCAGGACGTCGCTGTGAGATCCAGCTCCACAGCCTGACTCTCGGGTCTTCAGTGTGTGGATAGATTTCTTGAACTCTCTTGTATATGACACTTCAGTGACACTTATAAAAGAGTACAGTAAATTATGGGTTCCTTATTGTTTTCCATTTTTGCTAATTTAAATATTTTTATTGAAGATACTGCATTTGCACTTATAGTACAGTGCTTAAAGTGCAATGCTGTTTCCCTGATACATGTTCCATTATTCAATTATTGAGAACTCCCAGTACTTTACTATAGCAGCTCAACTTTAGTGACTGCCACAGCATTTGCTACTAATTTAGGTCCTTCAGTTTTATTCCTTGCAGAAGACTGCTATATCTATATTTGAGGTTGACTCA